AATATTGCAATGCTAGAGGAGGGGATGCCCATTGATTTCAGAGATTGACGGCACATATATCCCAGGAACCAATGGGCGGGAGGATATGACGTACCTCGCTGCGGCAAGGTACATAGGAAGCAAAGCACTTCAGGAGAAAATTAAGGTATGAAGATGTTAAGGAAAAAAAAGGTGCCAAACATTAATGGCGCAGCAGGAACAAAGACATGGGGACAAACTTTAAATATTGGGCGGAACTCCCGCTTTAAAGAACTGCTACTGATGGCTTGGTACCAGATACCACAGCATACCTTTAGAGGTCTAGTGGAGTCCATGCCTCAATGGTCAGGGCTGTTTTGGTGGCAATAAATCTCAATATTAGGTGGGTGGTCATTATATTATGGCTAATTTGTGTATGCCTGGGATCCAGACTAGTGCCAGTGGATGCACAGGCAAGGATACCCTCACTAATGCCCAAAAATGATTCCAAATAATAAAAGGTACTTAGTCAAACCAAGTAACATCATGCAGTCTAAAGGTCTTAGAAATGAGCGTCACAAATGTTTACTAGGCACAAATCAATGGCTGGCGTCGATCACATTTAACCTGCTCTTGATTAAAATCTGTGACTGGGCCTAGGAAATAGATTGCTTCCGGGGTGGCCAGCTCTATGTGCACAGACACTAAATGCTGCTAAGCACCAATTGTGTGCCTATCAAAAGCATAGAAAAGAGTCCTGAGGAAGGGAGCCCAACATATGATTTTGCACACAAGCCTATACATTCAGAAATCTTTCCTGCACCAGTAGAAGATTTTCCCTCACTAACTGTCCTGATGACAACTGTTACATTTTGGATTTCTTATTACTTTCTGTCCTCATGACAACTGCCACCAAGATTGACAGAATGCATGTCAAGTTTTTTTTTTTTTTTCAATCCACTGTTTGGGAAGCTGTTCATTTTTCATTTGATCTCAACCCATGGAGCCGTGAGACAAAAAATATTAGCATCAAGCAAATGTATTGTATCTGTATTTTTGGGCCATTAATAATCTTTACGATTAGCTGAACAGCAACTTTAAAAAGTGGTTGCCCATATGTTGGCAACGGTTCTCTCTCAAAACCCAACACATCTGCCTTCTCTGCCCACAAGAACTAGGCACTGATACACCAATTAAAGAAACAGGCATGTGCATTGTTTGCTCAATTGACAAGATCTGCAATTATGCGATCCTTGCTCTACAAACTGTTAATTACACCCTCTGACAGGGAAGAAAATATTCAAGTTTCACTTTACATGCATCATTTTCATGTTTGACCATCACATTCCTGTAAAGCGATAAAATAAACCGCAGCAAAAAAAAAATAAATAAATAAATAAAAATTGGGCCCCAGGCAGTTTAAGTCATAATGTACTAGTATACACTGCATACTAGCACATTATGACAAACTTAGCTGTAAACGAAGCCCACCAGCTAGCTGTCACCGATGTAGGCGCTTCCATCTACACCCAGTCTTCCTTCCAAGTTCCCTCCTTCAGGGCATGCGCCGGTGATGTCACTTGCTGCTTTTTTTTTTTTTTTTTTAGTAAATAGCTCCTAAACGGCACACAGTTACTGTACCAATAGGTGAGCCTTATTATAGGCTTACCTATAGGTAAAAATCCACCAAGGTAGTTTACTTCTACTTTAGAGTGGAATTTAAATATGTCCTCTCCCTCCTCCTGCTACCCACCCCTTCTACCCCAAGTAAAAAAGAGGTGTGTTCTAACCTTTTTTTTTAGGCCACTACGGTCCAGTCACATGATATCACAGCTTCACTCCCCTACGTCACTGATTGGCTGGCTGCAGGGGAGAGGAGGGAGCACTGACAATGGCTGGGCTATGGGATCCTATGGATGAAGTCACCTCTCCTGGAATTCCCAGCCATTGTTGAGCACCATCTCAACTCCCGTGCAGTCAGCCACTCACTGACACAGGATCACATGACCAGACTGGAGCAGGATGAAAAAGGCAAGTATACACATCTGATTTTTACAATAGATAAGATAGGTAGCAGGAGGATGAGGGGACATTTATAAGAATAGTTATGGTCAGGGGTGGACTGATAACTCATGGGGCCCCCGGGCAATAGGGGATCATGGGGCCCGTGTCCTCACCCACACTCAAACCACACCCAAAAAAGCCTATAAAAAAGCCTATGAAAGGCACCAGGGGCATCTCATGGGGCCCCCTACTGACCCCTGGTTATGGTTAGGCAGATATTCCCCTTCATACAAACAGTGAAATAAATGCAATACAAAGCCACAAGTAGCTTAAAACACTTAATTTATAAAATCAAAATCTAATTTACATTGCTAATACACAGCAATCTTTTCAAGACAGCATGCTGATTATATGTAGATTCATATGACCCCATCTATGATGGGTTGTCAGCAGGGGAAGAGCACGACAATACATTAATGGTGCTGCTGGCCCCTTTGTCCTAAGAGCTGCAGGCCAAAACCTGCAAGAAGATTTCCCTTCTGCACAATACGAAATTCCCTGAAGGAAATACAAAGCTTTGGGTTGTCAATACTTGATTTGATAATGATATGACAGGATAATACTGGCTATAGGTACTGTATATAACATCATATTGCGGCAGATCTAGGTTTCAACATAGATTAAAAACAGTTTGATAAAATGTTCTTAAATGAACATTTTGTTACTATGTCTTATGTAAATAACACTAGGGACTCCTCTGAGGCACTTGCCCTGCACTGAGGTCACTATATCCAATTATATTTATACCCTGCGTTTTCAGGGACGTTCCTGCAGTGAAGTGATCTGATGCAGCTAGCAATAAGACAAATATTTTTTCTTTGCTACATTTGGCCTTAATTTATAGGAAGATTAAAAGCTCTAGTACTCTCAGAACACACTGATGGCCAGAGGCAATAGAGATGTGACTCAATTTGTTTACTGCTTGAGGGTTCAAATCACACTGTTGCAGTGTGTTAATGCACATGCATGGCATTAGGGCAGCCTATTCAATTTAAACAGGCTGTCTATGGCACCAGAGTTAATCAAAAACAGTGTATGTGCTACATTACTGTAAACCCTAATTTTTTAATGAGTGTGATAGAGGATTGTTCCTCCCTACAAATTGTTGCAAGCTGCTCCTCTAACCAGCAGGTCCCACACTTAGGCCCTGTTCACACCAGAATGCGGTGCAGGAAACGCACACTCCATGCGAGTTTCCTGCAAATCGTTCAAAGCGCACTGCAATTGTGATCTGCAGCGGATGTCAATGTTAATGACACCCCAACCGCAAGTCACAAATGGAGAGCATTTGCCTGCACCAGTTTGCATGGTAAACGAGTACCAGGTTGTCCAGTTGCAGTGTGTTTTTTCAAAAGTAGTGCATGCACTACTTTTGGTGTGGTGCAATACAAAACCGCACAACAATGAACCAAGTGTTCCTGTGCGATTCCCAGTGTGAACCGGCCCTTAAGGTGCTACAAAATGCACCTAAATATTAGTAGTTCTGGCCCTGTTCATTAAGCACTATACCAGAAGTAATGACTTGTATTTAACAAGACTGTCAGACACAAAGCCTAAGGGCCTCTGTCAACAAGCTTCTTTTTGCCTCATAGCTGCTTCTCTCCCTATATAGGGTCAATGGGAATGCAAAGTAGCAGAAAGCAGCTTGGAGGAGGTCAAATGCACCTGTCAATGAACTGTGAATGATCTCAGAAACATCTCAAATTCATGGCCAAATACATCTTAAAGCAAGCCTACATTTATCCATGTTCACAAGGCCAAAGCTCAATAAAAGGCTCTTAAGCTGTTGGTTGGCTCCTAGTGTGAAAATCAGGCTCCTGATCACTGCATTTCTCCGTCCCAGCTCTGTATTCATTGTCCTTTTATGAAACTGTTTTATTAATTTGCTGAAACCAACAATCTTTCGCTGTGCATAAATTCCAGATGTGGTTGACGATTCCAAAACAAGAGCTGCTATCATTCACCTTTTAGTTTTTCAACAAGAGTTAAAATGCTTTCCACTTACACAAAGACACAACTGATCAGGGCCATTGCACACAGCCGTATATTAGGTGTATGGCCGTACAGAGTAACATGTGCTTTTGTTGTGGCTCTATGGCAGCGTATTTTTCTCTATACACATGCATTACATATCCAACGTTTGAGCCTATGTGCATGTGAATTCCAGCAATTACATTTACACGTGTGCATAATTTTCAAAACATAACTGAGTGTCTACATTTACACATGCATAGCCACGTACTGCGGTTTTTGTAATGCATGTCTATGGAGAAAAACAGACTACAGCTCCCAGGAACCACAACAACAAGTGCATTTTACTGTGTACAGCTGTGTGCAAGAGCCATTACACCCCCATCACATTACCTGAGTAAAGGGCAGTTTAAAATCTCACCCCTGAAATCACTTGAGCTGAAACTAATGGTTTACTATAGGAGATACTGCCATAGATACTCATTCAGTTTAATGAGTAACATTTAATGGACTGAGGGTTGTTGTGAATGGATGAACAGTCTCCCTTCAAGGGAAAAAAAATGGAAAGTGTGTTCTCTTCTGCAGAACAGATCAGAAACTCAGCTTCAAACCACAAATGTAAAAAAAGAGCCAGCAGACCATTTGTTAAATGCACATGCACAGGCCTGGCATATGTTAGGAAGAACCTGAGGAGCTGTGGGAAAATGAGGAAGATGCATTCTGTGTGATAATGGAGATGTGTTCGAGCACCCCCTGTACCCAGAAGGTACAGAACCTCACAGTGTAAAGCAGTATAAAAAGTGTGACAGTCTTGCAAGCATCCATCTTTACACACATGCACCCAAAAAAATATGTAAAAAGGCATCCAAAACAAGCCGCCAAACAGGTGGATAAGTACAGTCAGTTCACAGTGCTTCTCAGATCTTTGATAAAAAGGGGGAAGAGAAACTAAGTGCTAAATCTTCAATCCGAGTGGTTTATAGCACCGACAGCTGATGGATTCTGGACTAAGAGTCCCTGAAAGGTTCTGTAGTTTTCTGCAGTCTCTGGACCAAAACAGCATTGTTGAGGTGGGCTTCATGGATGGTGATGGTCTCATCCAAGATGTCACACAGAGGGAAAGAGGTGGCCAATTTGAAGGGCAGCTTCTCAGACTTACAAGGCATTCTCTCTAGGAATTGCCGCACATCACTGATCCTGTTGGAGACAAATTAAAAAACTTTACCAAAACAGGCCTTAAATTTGCATAACAAATCCAAACTTAGTTTTTTTACATTACATCTTTAAAGTGAGATTAAAAAGTTTTTTTTTTGTTTTTTTTTCTTTTACAAAGGATTTTTATTATAGAATAAGCAGAGATAAACAAACATTCGAGAAGCATATACATTGACCAAAACTTATGCGACATACAGGGCATTTGAGAAATATTTCAGAGTATGTACTGGTAGGAGCATAAGCGTAAACTAAATATTTTAGTGCCTTGAAAAAGAAGACAGGGAAGGGGGGGGGGGGGGGGGAGAAAAAAAAAAAAAAAAGGAGAGTGAGGGGGAAATAATGAGCAAATAATTGAAGGTCAATGACAATGAAAACTCTAAGAAGTTTTTGCTATATCAGCGCATAGAAAACAGGAGAGGCATGAAGGGAAGCCTTTCCAGAGGTTAATATATATTCCAATATATTCCAGACATTGGGCTCTCAATGGAGTCAGGGTTGCCTAGGTAGTATTGCAGATGTAGCACTCAAAGCAATGAACACAATCATTACAATTGGCATAAGGACAGAGTGACAGAAGAATAGAGAGAGGCAATCAATGAGGAGACGAGGACAAACACTAAAAAAAAAAAAAAAAAAAAAAAAAAAAGACAGGGACAATCACAAAAGGGCTCCAGGGCAGCCGCAGCAGAATTGATCCTCATATCGACAGAAGGGACTGGTCAAATCTCAAAGGCTGGGCTGTATCCAGCCAGGGACGCCTTACCCGCAGGAATTTTGTATGGGTATCCAACAGTATAGCCGTCAATTTTTCATTGACCATTATGAAATTCATCAGGTTTTTGACAGCCTCGAAGCTAAGGAGAGGAGTCTTCCAGGCCTTTGCAATTGTCAATTTAGCAGCCATAAATAAATGTGATGCCAGCTGCCATTCAGGGCAGGAGAAGGCCCTCCAATGGTTTAAATAGGAGCGCTTCGTACGGGTTACGCTTAATGTCTGCGTAAAACATAGTGCGGAGAAGGGCATAAACCCTAATCCACAATCTGCTAACCTTAGGGCAAGTCCACCAGATGTGAACCATAGTACCCACTTGTTGTTTTTGTTTTTTTTTTAATAACAAACATGTCATACTTACCTGCTCTGTGGAATGGTTTTGCAGAGCAGGCCTTATCCTCTTCTTCTCTGGTCCTCTGCTGTTGCTCCTGGCTTCTCCTCCTTGACTAGTGCCCCAAATAGCAAGCGCGTGCTCGCTCCTGAGCCCTGCTCTATGCGTCCATAAGATACATAGAGCCGTGGCTCATCATTGGCCCACTGGCTGTAATTGATAGCCAATGGCTCCCACTGCTGTTCTCAGTCAATGAGAGGGTCTGTTATCCTGCTGTATACCTGGCTGTGGGGTCTCTATAAAGAAATCGTTTTATATAAAAGAAAGATCGTTTTTATGAAAGAAAGATCATTTTGCTTCAATAAAATGCGGGTTAATATCTGCTAAAATGTGAGTGGTCTGGAAAAAATTCTTTTAAGATTGGAAATCATTACGGTATCACACTATGGTTACTCCTCTCACCGAATCCCCCAGAGAAAATCAGGAAGAAGAAAAAACCAGAGGAGGTGTCCATATCCTAGAGGAGGCAATATTTGGAGGTCATATACAAATTAAAGGGGGTCCAGGAGCCCTTAATATCCCTGAAAGGTGTTTTACTCACCAATATCTGGTGAGTGCGGTTAATGTTGGTTTTGCACTGGTGGATGGTGGAGGTATCACTGGCACGGAAGAATCCAATGAAAATATAAAAAAAAAAAAATTTTTCACAGGACTGTTTTTTTGGATTTTGTCACTGGACTTCTTATTTTCTAAATTCTATATATTTTTTTATTTCATTAATATTTTAATTAATATTTTTGTGTCACAATGTATTTTAAGTTTGTGATATTTAGTAATTATTATTTATGGGTTGAGTGATGTATTTTATTGTTTTTGTGGGTTTTGCGCTGGTATAAGTTGAAATAAGTTTTTTTTGGTTTTGCACTTGTGTACAGCAGCATCTCACGGGGAATAGTGTGTGGAATAAGAGAATCCTGGGCGCTGAGGTTTTTCCTTTCTTTACTAAAATGAGGAGAGAGAGACCCAAGACAGCAGAGACTCCCATGCACGTTGCTGGATCAGGTAAGTATTGGGGGGCCTAGAGGGGGGAGCAGCACACAAAAGGTTTTTTACCTTCATACACAGAATGTATGAAGGTAAAAAACCTTCAGCTTTTACAACCATTTTAAGCCGGCCCTACATGGATCCAAATTTGGCCAGTTCAGCAGGGACTGGATGAATTTCCATCACTGTATGAAGACAGTGGATCTACTGAATGACTTCTGTATAACCAATATGTTGGATAAATGTCATTCGATCAGTGCTGTCAGCTACACCAGGTAGCGCTGAGCAGTGAGTTCTGACTGTGTCAAAATACAATAGTGTGCCCCACTGTCAGAATACAATTGCTCAACTGAGGATTTCCCCATCTACCTCAAAATGTGTGGATGGGGCAATCGGGTCAGATTTCTTTTTGTTCAACTCGCTGGTTGAATGAAAAAAACTGAATCATCTATGGGCTGCTTTAGAGCTGTGTCCATTGCACAGATTTCCCTTTACTTTCTGTGCTGTCATCAAACAGAAAAGCAACTACAGTGGGGAAGGCTATAATCTCTGACACGCTTTTTTACAGCTGCTGCTGCACCCATTGTTAAGTTTCCTTTATTTCCTTAGTGGTCACTGGCGCAAGAAGTTAGGGGAAGTCTCCAACATATGCACCCAGGCATAAAAACCTAACAGAGGTCCCAATACTCAAAAGTTCCTTTTTTAAATAATATACAGTGGTAACAACTAATTTTTCCCTTTGTTCTCATCATGCAGGGCTCCCTCATGGTATCCTCAGAACATTATTTAAACCAGCCTTGCTTTATTGATATTTGCAAATCAATTTCTGGCACTTGATCCATTTAGCGACTGTAATGAAATTTACAATTAAAAAAAAACAAAATTGATGACTACATCCTACACAAACTAGTATCAAACAGTCATCAAACAACAATTCAATTTTAAGATGCCTGCAGAACAAGTTAGTCATATGTACTGGCTACATACAAACAGTCTGGGTTGACATGTTGGGTTGACAAAAAGATTCACTCACTGCAAAGTTAAAGTCTTCTGTTGTCCTTTGCCATAGCAGAGATAAGTGCAGATCTGTGGGCCATTTGCTGGCAGATGGCAAATCCAACATGACAGTAATGGCTGATTAAAAGAAAATTCTGAGCTGCTGAGATTTACCGTGCACTCAACTTGCTGCAAACAGAAGAAATTGTAGCAACAGTTTTCATTTGGATCACTTAAAGCTGCTGTAAAGCCTTTTTTTTTCTAAAATAACAAACGTGTTACACATACCTGCTCTGTGCAATGGTTTTGCACAGAGGCCTCAAACCTCCTCTTCTTAGGTCCCCCACCGGCATTCTTGGCTCCTACCCTTTGTGTGCACCCCCGTAACTCCCATTTCCATTAGTACACTGTAACTACTACTGTACAAGCATAGTAGATTCAAGGGTGGGGGGTGTGATGTTGCTACTACTGGGCTTCAGTGGGCAACTTTTAAAGACTAAGTGCACTTAACCACTTCAAGACCAGCATGTTTCTAAGATTCCACACAATTTAAAAAGGAGGCAAAAATATGACTACCTGAATTATTTTTACATTTCTTATAAAGGATGTACAAGTCTTTTATTTGGTAACTGGTTTAATTAACACCTTGCCGCCTGGCCTACAGCAGATTGACGGCCGGGTGGGACACTCGCCGTTGGGACTGGGCATCACATGACGTCCTGTCAAAACGAGCAGGAGGTGCGGCGGCATGATTTGTCATCGGCTGTGTCCACGGGACACAGCCTATGACATATCACTACACCGGCCCGTTTGCCAGTGTCATGTGACCAATCACAGCAGATCACATGTCAATTGTATACAATGGATGGCTTCCTGTCATGCCATCCATTGTAAACAATTTTAGCTGTGACTGGTCAAGGCAGTCACATGATACAGACAGGGCCAATCACAGCCCATCTGTATCATGTGATCAGCTTTGCCCAATCACAGCTAATCACAACAAAAGGCTGAATGAATCAGTTTCATTCAGTAATAATGACTGCAAATATCAATGAGATACATTGGTATTAGCAAACGTGTTAAAAAAAAAAATTCCTGATCACTTGCCCAGAGTAGTTCAATGTTACTATGGTAACATTGTATTGCTTTGGTCACAGTGTAATGTAAAATAAAATAGTAAAAAAAAAAAAAAAATGTAATAAAAAATAAAAAATAATAGAAATATTTGAAAATAAAATACAAATTCAATTATTATTTTCACCAAAGAAATGTAGAAGGATAAATTTTGACCTAAATTTATGAAGAAATGTTATTTGCGAAATTTAATAACAGAAACAAAGAAAAGTGTGGTTTTTTTTTCAAGTTTCAGGTGTTATTTGTTTTATTTTAGCAAAAATGTAAAAACTCTGTGGTGATTAAATACCACCAAAAGAAAGCTCTATTTATGTGAAAAAAATTCTAAAAATTGCATATGGGTACAGTGTTGCATGACCGCGCAATAGTCATTCAAAGTGTGACAGCACTGAAAGCTGAAAATTGGCCTGGGCAGGAAGGGGGTATAAGTGCCCAGTACTGAAGTGGTTAAAGCACTACCATGTTTTTTTATATCTCCAGCCTCTAGATAATCATTATGTCATAGGTGACAAATTGATCACTTGATCATCATGAACCACTTTGATTTTTTCCCTAATCCTTTGTGTGAATTAGAACTGTCAGTGACAGACCAGTCTGACAGCTAGCAGTTGGGCACAATGTCAGCTGCAAGCTGTCAAAGGAAGGAAGCAGATAATACCATGCAGGGGAGAGACGATCTACAAACTTCTAACCAGATTTGGCTGAAGCCTGAAAAAGTTGGATAAATTTAATTGTGAGATTCTATAATTTACATACAATTTTTGGCTGTATAGGTAATGTGTTCCTAAACTGCCAGGGTAATTCTTACAACAGAAAAAAAAAAAAGAAAAGTTATTTCACCCATATGCAAAACAGCCTTTGCTTTGTACTCTTGAGCAGCAAGGTTTACCTGTGTGAGGTGTTAAACTTTTGCACAATTCTCTTTCCATCTACCAGCCAGATCTTGATGTTTGTAGAAGGCTCCAGATCATTCATCTCCACAGAAGGAAAGCTCTGCACTGCATCCTCTACACCATTCACTGCTTTGTTAATAACTGTTGGTGTGGCACTGATAAGAGAGAAAAAATATACTTATTCCAACTGACCTCTAAATATATTTTTAAAAAGAAAAAACATTAAAACAAAAATTCTAGTCAGGATAAAAATATCCAAAACATTTATATTATTAGGTTATGTGACTATATTTGTATACTGTGAGTTGTAGCAGTACTTCCCTGTATGTTATATGTAAATCTGTTCCTTGTAGCTGAGGGTTAATTTACCTGTTATTAGCGGAGCAGCCCCTACTTCAATCTGTACACTGACAAGTGTGATATTGATAGTTTAATCTTTTTTAAAGAGCGCCTACAACCTGTAAAGTGCTAGCCCATAATTTTGTGTGGACTAAACCTGTCAAGAGATCAGAGACTACTGATATTTATTTAGACACATCAATATCTATTTACATAATATAATAAAAAAAGAATATTTACAAATCACTAGAATCCAGCAAGGCCCTCCTCACTGCCACAGTTTGTCAACATTATTAAGATTCTGCAGTAGAGAGCCAAAAGTAATTTCTTGGTTTTCACAGCCAGTCCCTTGGTGATGCGCTGCTGAATCTTGATCTTGATCTTGATCTAGCTACCCAAAATATTGTATACTAGCTGCCATTGTATCATCTATGCAGATGAAAAATCTTATATTTCAGCACTTGCAGCCATCTGGGATGTGTGAAGTTTATTCCAGGGGGCTGCAAGTGCATGCTACGTGTCTCTCTCCCCTAGGCAAAAAACAGACTTAATAAAGATACTACTTAAACATTTAGCAAAAGTTTCACTTTAACCACTTCACACACTGAAGACATACCTGTACATCCCTCAGGTTGAAGTGGCTATAGTGGGATTATGGAAGCGATTCAAGCGGTTCTACAGTCACCCAATCACTTCTACAGGGTGTGGAAGGGAGCCCTCCTCTGCCATCATCTGCCAGCTTTCCTGGGCTCTCCAGTGTGATTGGGGATTCCAGGTCCACTGCTGTGTTGTGTCCCAATGAACTCAGGGGAAGGAGGAAGGTGCATCTGTACTTACTCAGCTTAACATCATCTTTTACTATGGAACTGGTTATTTTTTTACTACAAAACTGGCTATTATATTTGTGTGCATTAAAATGCATTAAAGTGTATTTGTTCTTGAAAATCTGCATACATAGACACAGACAGAATATTGCAAAAAGTAAGCATCCCAATCTTAGTCCGCAGGGTTCAATATTGAGTTGACCCACCCTTTGCAGCTATAACAGCTTCAACTCTTCTGGGAAGGCTGTCCACAAGGTTTAGGAGGGTGTCTATAGGAAGGTTTGACCATTCTTCCAGAAGCACATTTGTGAGGTCAGGCACTGATGTTGGATGAGAAGGCCTGGCTCGCAGTCTCTGCTCTAATTCATCCCAAAGGTGTTCTATCGGGTTGAGGTCAGGACTCTGTGCAGGGCAGTCAAGTTCCTCCACCCCAAACTCGCTCATCCATGTCCTTATGGACCTTCCTTTGTGCACTGGTGTACAGTCATGTTGGAACAGGAAGGGGCCATCCCCAAACTGTTTCCACAAAGTTGGGAGCATGAAATTATCCAAATTGTCTTGGTATGCTGACGCCTTAAGAGTTCCCTTCACTGGAACTAAGGGGCCAAGCCCAACCCCTGAAAAACAACCCCACACCATAATCCTCCCTCCACCAAACTTTACACTTGGAACAATGCAGTCAGGCAAGTACCCATCTCCTGGCAACTACCAAACCCAGAATCTTGAATCAGAATGCCAGACAAAGAAACGTGATGTCACTCCAGAGAACACGTCTCCACTGCTCTAGAATCCAGTGGCAGCGTGCTTTACACCATTGCATCCGACGCTTTGCATTGCACTTGGTGATGTAAGGCTTGGATGCAACCGGTCGGCCATGGAAACTCATTCCATGAAGCTCTCTACACGCTGTTGTTGTGCTAATCTGAAGGCCACATGAAGTTTGGAGGTCTTTAGCGATTGACTCTGCAGACACTTGGCGACTTCTGCGAACTGTGCGCTTCAGCATGCGCTGACCCCGCCCTGTCATTTTATGTGGCCTACCACTTGGTGGTTGTGTTACTGTTGTTCCCAGTTGCTTCCACTTTGTTATAATACCACTAACAGTTGACTGTGGAATATTTAGTACCAAGGAGATTTCACGGTGGCAACCTATCACAGTACCACGCTTGAATTCACTGAGCTCCTGAGAGTGACCCATTCTTTCACAAATGTTTGTAGAAGCAGTCTGCATGCCTAGGTGCTTTATTTTATACACCTGTGGCCATGGAGGGGATTGGAACACCTAAATCCAATGATTTGGAAGGGTGTCCCAATACTTTTGGCAATATAGTGTATAATAGATAGTAAATGCAAATTTTTTTACCTGCAAAAATGAGAATTAATTTTTGTAAAAGTGAACTTATCCTTTAACATATATGTAAGAAATGTCAGAATTGGCTTGGGCTTGAAGTGGTTAAATAAACCCTCTCATTACAAAAAAATATTTAATTTAGCACAACTAAATGATAGCAAGCAATCTAAAAGTAGTGCCTTAGCTTTCTGAGGACCTTCCCAGATGTTCCAAATACTGAAAAAAAGCTAATGGACCTCCATTCCAAGCACTGCAAAACTGAATCCAGGTGCCTCTAAAGTTGAGAAATTCCCCATGCCAAATTTACAGTGCCTTGATAAAGTATTCAAACCCCTTGCAATTTTCCACATTTCGTCATGTTATAACCAAAAAACGTAAATGTATTTTATGTGATAGACCAACACAAAGTGGTACATAGTTGTGAAGTGGAAGGAAAATGATAAATGGTTTTACAAATAAATATCTGAAAAGTGTGGCGTGCATTTATATTCAGCCCCTTTTACTCTGATACCCCTAACTAAAATATAGTGGAACCAATTGCCTTCAGAAGTCACCTAATTAGTAAATAGAGTCCACCTGTGTGTAATTTAATCTCAGTATAAATACGGCTGTTCTGTGAAGCCCTCAGAGGTTTGCTGGAAAACATTAGTGAACAAACAGCATCAGGAAGGCCAAGGAACACACCAGACAGACAGGTCAGGGTTAAAATTGTGGAGAAGATTAAAGCAGGGTTAGATTAGAAAAAATATCCCAAGCTTGAACATCTCATGGAACACTATTAAATCCATATCCGAAAATGGAAAGAGTATGGCACAACTGCAAACCTACCAAGACATGGCCGTCCACCTAAACTGACAGGCCAGGAAAGAAGAGCATTAATCAGAGAAGCAACCAAGAAACCCATAGTAACTCTGGAGGAGCTGCAGAGATCCACAGTTCAAGTGAAAGAATCTGTCCACAGGACAACTATTAGTCACGCACTTCACAAATCTGGCCTTTATGGAAGAGTGGCAAGAAGAAAGCCATTGATGAAAGAAAGCCATAAGAAGTTCCATTTGCAGTTTGCGAGAAGCCATGTGGGGGACACAGAAAATGTGGAAGAAGGTGCTCTGGTCAGATGAGACTAAAATTGAACTTTTTAGCCTAAAAGCAAAACATTGTCTAGTGGAAAACTAACACTGCACATTACCTTGAACACACCATCTGCACTGTGAAACATGGTGATGGCAGCATCATGTTGTGGGGATGCTTTTCTTCAGCAGGGACAGGGAAGCTGGTCAGAGCTGATGGAACGATAGATGGAGCCAAATACAGGGCAATCTTAGAAGAGAACCTATTAGAGTCTGCAAAAGACTTGAGACGGGCGGAGGTTCACCTTCCAGCAGGACAATGACCTTAAACATCCAGCCAGAGCTACAATGGAATGGTTTAGATCAAAGAATATTCATGTGTTAGAATGGCCCAGTCAAAACCCAGACCTAAATCCAATTGAGAATCTGTGGCAAGACTTGAAAATTTCTGTTCACAGACACCCTCCATCCAATCTGACAGAGCTTGAGCTATTTTGCAAGGAAGAATGGGCAAAGCTTTCACTCTCTAGATGTGCAAAGCTGGTAGAGACATCCCCAAAAAGACTTGCAGCTCTAATTGCAGTGAAAGGTGGCTCTACTCAGGGGGGCTGAATAAAAATTCACGCCACACTTTCCACATATTTATTTGTAAAAAATTTTGAAAACCATTTATCACTTTCCTTCCACTTCACAATTATGTGCCACTTTGTGTTGGTCTATCACATAAAATCACAATAAATAAAATACATTTACGTTTTTGGTTGTAAAATGACAAAATGTGGAAAATTTCTAGGTGTACGAGTACTTTTTCAAAGCACTGTAAAGGGAATGTTTTTTGTTTGATTTTCTTTTTTTTTAAACAGTTTATAAACTGCTGTTTTTATTTTTGTATACAATCTTTATTTTGCAAATAAATATTTACTACACAATGTAAGCAAGACACTTTTTTTTCTTACAAAGCATGCTGGGTTTCTAACCCAGCAACTACCTTCATTTTTCTATCAGACTTGATTAAAGTAGATCTCCAGGCAAAGGTGTGGAAAATGTTTCTAACATTTGACAGTTGCCACCAGAACAAAAGCAAAGTAGAAACAGTCCAACTGGGGTCAAAGGTGGAATTTCCCTCACTATAGGAAGAGTTCCCATTTACATCTTGTCATGTTTTAGGAAATGAAGCAACATCTCCTGTGAAAACTACAGTATCTGTCTCAATGTGGTAATGTATTTCTTTTGCTACTCTCCTTTATCCCACTAAATGTTTTTAGAGGTTTTCTCCTTTCAGTCTTGAGACAATGGTCACCAGGGCACAGAGAAAAGATGAATCTCCCCAGTAGGAACCCAGACAGGGGTTCTGACCCTCATTCTATCCAAAACCTAAAAAATACATCCCATCCAAACAAATCTTGTATTCTCAGAGTAATTTAAACCTACATGACTGTACAGCTATATGGTCTAAGAAATATCTGTCAATAAGGAAAAACTATAAAAGCACCACACCACCAAAGCCAGTCCCAGCATTGATCACTGTGCATATATGTTGAGCAGACAAGCTGCTTCAATCTGAAAATATTCTCTGACTCCATAACCAGCCAATGACAAACAAAAAGTAAGAACACAAAAGAAGATCCTCTTAAGATCACTGTCTGCAATAGTCTCTACAAGAATCTTACCTTCCCAGTCTATAACCCTTTCCAGAGAATGGATCCACGTGCTTCTTCATTAATGAATGTTCTTCACTCTTCCTGTCTTCCACATTAACAGCCACCTCTTCTTTCTCAAATGTCCTTTGTAGCTCTGGCGGGAGCTCCCTAAATGATGAAATGATTAAGGCTTCACAATACTAAATACATATCACTTTTTTATTATTACTTATGGACTGCTATAGGTCATGTATAAGGCAAGCTAGATAATACGCAAGCCATTCTCACCCAGAGTTTTTTCAGAGGTTGCTAGGGGTTCCTTGAACAAATGAGCAGTTTCTGACTCTCAGATGAGTAACCACTGACACCAATGGTCTTTTAGCCCTCTGTAGAGAGGGACATTTTCCATCTAAACAAACAATGATAGGGAATTCTTCCCCACTAACCACTCGTGTAATGGGGCCCTTCTTGCTACTGACCACCAATATAATCAGCATTTTTCCCAATGACCATCACTGTAGGAGGGCCTTGCTCCCAAGTGACCACCCTGGACTGTGGAGGGTGGCCAACAATGAAAAACAAAGGTCGTCATACTGTCCATTCTTCCACTATAGAGGGGCATTTTTCCACTGAGTACCAATGTGAGGGAACACTACAGTTTTCACTGTTTGCATTTCTTCTCTAGCCATTATTTTTTCAATTCCATTTTTATTACTGAAAATAATTTATTCGTACAGAGCAGGCCTGGATGTCAAATAAATTCAAAGTATGCCATATTCCTGATTCTTTTACTTATACTTATATCCCAACTTGCTGTTTACACTAATGTACCCTAAGCTGTATGTAAAGTAATTATTAGCAGGAGTCCCATAGACCTAATAGTTATTTCAATGGTTACTCTGTATTAATAGGGTTGAGAAAGGCTGCAATAGGCTATACAGTTTTCACAAACTAATAGGGTGATTTGAAAAACAAATTGATGGATACACAAAGGCATAATGACTTCACAGAGAGATTTACCCATTCCCTTTTTGTCTTTGTCTTTTGGTGCAAGACAAGAATATAATTTTATACAGGACTATAGGGTGTTGTATTTCTTTAGCATACTTGTAAATGAGCAGATCATAGATTACACTTCAGCTAAATGATTTTCTAATTATCAAATAACTGTCACAGATGCCTGAGCTAAATTGCTGAATGTCAAAAGAGGAATATCCATACTATACCTTCCTATCTAGTCATTTACGAAGCAGAAATTACCACTGCAAATCTGATCTCAAACTTTCAGCTGTAGTGTGGCAATCCACTAAGGTTCCGTTCACACTGGCATTAAAAGCAGAAGTTTGAAGCATGTTTTTAACGCTCTGCAAACTTCTAGTAAAGGAGTCTGCAATTGAGAATATCGAGAGCACACAGTGCTGTTCAAATTATCAAAACATGCAGCATTTGCATTTTGTTACTGCACTTCAAAAGGAGTTTGGAAGTTGAAGCATCTCAACTCCTTCTCTTCAAGTCTATGGTAATGCGTCAGCACGTTTGCAGCACATTAGGCCTCGTTCACAACAGCTAAAAAAAATAAATAAAAATAATAATAGGCACCTGGGGTGCATATTTCCCTCTCTAAATTTTTTATTTAATGTAATACAAATATTGTGGGAGCTCAAAAAAGGTAGAGTTTTCAAAGCACGCAGCCAGTCGCTTCTTTATTTTTCAGGGCCCTTTTGCCCAATTTTATTTAAAAGAAAAGTTCCACAAAAGTTCTTCCCACGCAGGGGTATCCACCATCACACACATGAAACCATATTCAGCCTCCTGGCTTGTACACATACTTATGCCACTCTGGCCTTCCACATCAGGCTCACAGCCATCTCCTTCCTAAATTTGGCTTTCAGCACACAGCTACTCTGGCTTCCACCTCTCCTTGGTGAAACCCTCCTGACTCCAAGGCAGAGACCTCCTGTTTGCCAGGGTGGAGCCCTCCTGACTCCTGTCTGCCAGGGTGGAGTCCTTCCAAATCTCTTGGAAATCTCCAGGCTACAGGTCCCAAAACAGGCTTTACAAACCAAAGAGGAAACTGATAAACCAGTTTCCTCTGCATTATGAGAACTGCCTGGAGCCCCTCAATCTGCATGGTTGAGAATCCTGGGTCACCACCGTGATTTCCACCGTGGCAGGATACCGTACTGCCACAATATTTATATAGCGCCAACAATTTACACAGCGCTTTATATATTGTACATTCACATCAGTCCCTTCCCTCAAGGAGCTTACAATCATAATTGGACTAAGGTGCTTTTATCTGTTTACTGGAGTTCTATAAGGAAAAAATAAATCAGCATGTGGTCTGTCCAGTCAAGTAGCCAATGTCCACTAAGGAGCCAAGTAAGAATGAAAATAACAGAAAACCTACAAACAAGACATCAGACACCTCTTACCCTTTCCTGACAGAGTCCATGAACTGACGATTTGCAGCATCTGTATAGTCCCTGAGTTCACCGTCATTGATTGTAAACCCATTTTTCCACATCCGGATAACAACTTCTGCCTGCAAGGAAAAGCAAAACCAACATGTTACATTACAAGAAACCATTGCTGTGGTGTTTATAAAACATTCGAATATCTACAGAAAGTATGACAATGCATACCAAAAAACAACTAACAGTATACTAAAAATACAACCATATGTTCCATCTCCCCTAAAGCAAACCTATAGGCAAAAACCAGAATACATAGCTAAAATTCATATACTATATTGCAAAAAGTATTGGGACACCCCCCCAAATCATTAGATTCAGGTGTTCCAATCACCTCCATTGCCAGTGGTGTATTTAGGTTTTGTGCTGCCCTAGACAACACAAAAATCGAATACCCCTCCTCCCTGGCGTAGAGAGCCTGACACCAACCAACACCAGACCCCCTCCACGGAGAGAGCCTGACAGTGACCCAACAACACCTCTGCCCCATCACCCCCCCCCCACTGGAGAAAGCCATTCACTAACACCCAACTCCTCCCCCCGCCAGTGACAGAGAGAAAGACACTCACCTTAAAGCTCTGGACATCCCCGGGAATGACAGTCGGGCTCTGCAAACATCATCAAGCAACCCGCAGCCTCTCTCAGATCCCACCTGGTCCTCATATTGCATATGTCCCTTCTTCCAAGGGGCAGTGCTGCCCCCTAAAAAATGTCGCCCTAGGCAAATGTCTTGTTTGCCTTGTGGTAAATACGCCCTGTCCATGGCCACAGGTGTATAAACTCAAGCACCTAGGCATGCAGGCTGCTTCTACAATCATTTGTGAAAGAATGGGTCAATCTCAGGAGCTCAGTGAATTCAAGCGTGGTACCATGATAGGTTGCCACCTGTGCAATAAGTCCATCCGTGAAATTTCCTTGCTATTAAATATTCCACGGTCAACTGTTAGTGGTATAACAAAGTGGAAGCAACTGGGAACAGCAACTCAGCCACCAAGTGGTAGGCCACGTAAAATGACAGCGAGGTCAGCACATGCTGAAGTGCACAGAAGTAGCCAACTGTCTGCAGAGTCAATAGCTAAAGACCTCCAAACTTCATGTGGCCTTCAGATTAGCACAACGGCACATAGAGAGCTTCATGGAATGGGTTTCTATGGCCGACCAGCTGCATCCAAGCTTTACATCACTAGTGCAATGCAAAGCATGCCACCACTGGACTCTAAAGCATTGGAGACGTGTTCTCTGAAGTGATGAATTACATTTCTCTGTCTGGCAATCTGATGGACGTGTCTGGGTTTGGCAGTTTCCAGGAGAACAGTACTTGCCTGACTGCATTGTGCCAAGTGTAAAGATTGGTGGAGGGGGGATTATGGTGTCGGCTTGTTTTTCAGGGGTTGTGCTTGGCCACTTAGTACCAGTGAAGGGAACTCTTAAGAAGTCAACATACCAAGACATTTTGGACAATTTCATGCTCCCAACTTTGTGGGAACAGTTTGGGGATGGCCCCTTCCTGTTCCAACATGACTGCGCACCAGTGCACAAAGCAAAGTCCATAAAGACATGGAAGAGCGAGTTTGGGGTGGAGGAACTTGACTAGCCTGCACCTCAACCCGATAGAACACCTTTGGGATGAATTAAAGCGGAGACTGCGAGCCAGGCCTTCTCGTCCGACCTCAGTGCCTGACCTCACAAATGCTGTTGTTGTGGACAGCCTTCCCAGAAGAGTTGAAGCTGTTATAGCTGCAAAGGGCGGGCCAACTGAATAATAAACCCTACGGACTAAAACAGGAATGCCATTAAAGTTCATGTGCGTGGAAAGGCAGGCGTCCCAATACTTTTGGCAATATAGTGTTTGTGGTAGCTGTTGTACTTGTCAAAAGGATGTGTATTTTTCTGTCATTCTGAGAAATTAAAGAATGCCTCTACTTAGAAAAATTTGCAGGTTACTGTTGCTCACTTCAAGAAGTTGCAGGAAGAGAAAGCAGTACTCAACCCAAAAGTAAATATTTATTATATTGCAGCTTATCAATTCTTAGATATGATGGCTGCATTAGTTTCCTTTTTTAGGCTTTCTTCTATTTTCATCTGATGATTTAGTCAGCAAGTCTGTTGCATTTCAGAAGCTCAAACTCCAGCAGAGTTTATCGGTTTACATGGATGAGACCATCCTTTTACCACTGGCAGAGGTAATTAAAATGATCATCTTTTATTTTTTTCTTCAAATTCTTTATTTAACAAGGACGCAGCTTCTATTACATCCAAACAGTAAAGAATGAATGAGTGCAGTTGTTGGTACGAAATACAACCATAGACTTCCGATGGACATGACTTCAAACCAGAAAAGTACACTATAGACTAGATGAAGAAACAAAGTCACAATCATAGCCAGGAATAATTCTATTCCATGAAAAAGCATGATCAAGGTTTAATACAGCATAAAGGTCTAGAAGCCAACGATAAACCTCATACAGTAAAAATGATAGGATGGTTACAATGTGGGCAAATAAACTGCCTGTCCATGGTAGAGGAGGAACCACTGTCAGTTTTCATACGATGGGTAAATGGGAAATGAGAGAAAAGGCAGAGAAGATACGGGAGGGGGAATGGGGTTGGGGGAGAATGGCATGTCAGAGGGGAAAGCGCCACCTGCACCATCAGCCTGCGGAACTCAGGTCAAAGAGGGCTTTACCCTCTTCTGAGTAGACAAATATGTTCCACAAAGTTCAGGTTTTTGAGTATGTTTCTCGTCTATGTTGTGCAGAAAACACCAGATCTTCCATCTGGTTTAGCTCTTCAACTTTATTGAGGAAAAGTGTAATTGACAGTCACCGTGAATTTTTCCAGGTAAGAGGGATGCATGATTTGGCGATGTTGGGGAGGTGGCATAATATAGATTTTTTTTGTAGGTTTTGGCAGGTATGGTAGAAACATGAAGGAGGAAAATTACGTAATCAGTACATTTTTAGGAGATCCTTCAGACCTCTGCCCAATAGTTGAGTTTGGGGCAGGACCAGAAAATATGCAGTAGTATCCCCTGCTCCCCCTGGCACCTCCAACATCGATCTGTGCTATTTGGGAAATATTTGCATAAGAGAGATGGAGTACGATACCAAAGAATGAGAATTCTGAAATTGGTTTCCTGAACTCTTGTGCAGAACGAGCATTTTAAGGCAAACTGAATAATGTTATGCTGTTGATCCACCATAAATGTCCTATCTAGGTCTAAATCCCACTTTTCTAGGAAGGGCAATTGGTAGGTAGTCATCTGGGGATGCTACCAGAAAGGCATACATCTTTGAGAGTGTATGAGGTAAAACTTCTTGGTCAGAGCAATATACCTCCAAAGGAGTCATGCTGTGGCAAAAGTTGGAGGGTAACTCGGAAAATGGTGTAGCTGCAAGGCGCTCCACAAATCTAGGTGGAAAGAGCCCTCAGGGTCTGCCAGGACCTGCTGAGTGGGCCAAGCGTCCTCCACTAGAAAGTAAGGCAACTGATAATTGAGGAGGGTCTGGAGATAATGTGGTTGTGGAGAAAAGCCATGAACATGTGCGACTGTGTGAGATCAGCTTTTTAAATTCATGGTAATCATGTCATGTTTATCTCAAAAGAAAAAAAAAAAAATGTTTGCTGTAACCGATTATAAAGTGTGAGCTGGAGTTTGGCATCAATTTGTTATTGTATTCAAATCTGCTAATAACACCCCCCAGACTAACGATGCTACTGTATGCTGTGTCCTGTGCTCATTTCCTCCAGAGTGGTGTCTCACTAATACAGAAGGTGTGTTACTGGCCAGGTCAGCAGGTGAAAACAGAGTGGAAAAAGGCCAAAGAAAACAAAATAGATGCAGCCAGCAAATCTGATTGGAAGGCTGCAATAAAATACACAGCATCACCTATAATAGCTAGGCAGCCAAATAACATCCTTTCGCTTTACAGGTTCAAGCTCATTAAGCTTTATCTCATATCCTATACTCTATTCCAGGGGGACACGGAAACTCAACTGGCATCCAAGAATCATGCAGGCTGCAAAGCCCAAATAAAGGAGAATTTCTATTCTGCCATTCTGACTCATGAGGCTCCCTTAATGACTTTCATCTTCCACTAAAAATGCATTTCTATGAAATATTGTATAAAAAAAGGACTTTGCACTACAGGGATTGTTCAAGCTGCAAGCACACTCTGTGCATACAGTATGGTGATCAAAAATGTGTACAATAGTGCTGCCCTGTAAATTTAAATCAAATAACAATATACAGTTTAATCAGACTCAAAAACAAATGTATATGGTTCGATTTAAATTTATAGCGCAGCAGTTTTGTACACAGCATTTCTATGCAAACCCCAGCACAGTTATGAGGACCACCAGATGCATGCATCCAAAAGCCTGGAAATAATTCAGGAAAACCACACTAATAACTGAAAATACAACACAAACTTGATGCCCCGCATCTGACACAGAGGAGCACTTTTCATTCTTACACAAATTACCTCATCTTCTGGAGAAGCATTAAGGACGCCAGCGTCTTTCACTTCTTCAAATAAGCTGTTCACAAACGAGTCACACCTTTTCCGCTCACCTCCCCTGCTCCTGGAAGCTCTGAAATAAAAATACCATTCTAAAAATGTCATCTACTTCAGCTCTCGTACCTGTATAACCATACTTATGATGCTAAAGCAGGGGTAGGCTACATTAAAGACGTGGAGATCTACCTAAACATGGGAGAAGTCTAAGATCAACGGGCAGTGTTGCCTCCTCACACCTGGTTTAAATCTCTATTTCTCGTGCTACCACGTCGAAATTGCGTCCATTGCAAGGCAATCACTGGTTTAAATCAGGTGGTGAGAAGGAAACATATGGTCTGATGAATGGACTTTCACACAGTTTCCAAACAAAAGATGTGTTTACATGTGGCAAACACCTTCCCAAACTTAGGACTAGGACTGTCTTGTGCCAACAGTAAAGCATGGTGGCGGCACAGTCATGGTCTGGGCAGCCATATCTTGGTATTCTGCAGGTCCCTTCATCACCTTGAAAGGTGAGTCACTGCCAGCAACAATGTACAAATTTTGGCCAACCATGTGCACACCATGGTACACACTTTGTTTCCTGAAGACCAAGGTGATAATGCTCCGATTCACACAGCTAGTGTTGTCAAATTCATGGTTTGACAAGCATGCAGATGAAGTCTTGCACCTTCCCTGGGTGCCGCATTCGCTGGACCTCAATATCATAGAGCCACTATGGTCTCTTTTGGAGACCAAGGATCAAGCTCATTTTCCGCTTCGGGCATCTCTGCGAGAACTGGAACTATTTTTGCATGAAGAGTGGTATCAGATTCCATCATCCACCATCCCAGACTTATATTTGTCAATTCCTAGGAGAGTTCAGGCCGTCTTAGATGCCTAAGGCGATCCAACACCATATTAGGTTAAGAATTTCATTCTTTTACCTGATGTTTTTACAATTTTGTCCAACCCCTTTACCTCACATCCTATACTGGAGACAAGTGTTCACCAGGATATAAATAACTCTGATGACGATACGGTCCACACATAAGAAAAAAAAAAAAAACAGAGAAAACGTATGTGTGGTTGGGGGGGGGGGGAGGTAGACTAAAGTCCCAGGCAGCTGCACCTTTCCCATCAGGCGGTGAGACCATTTTCAAATTTTTTGCTGAGTTTCCAACATTTTCAGATAGTATATTCCCTGCTGGGCACTGATTCCTCCAGCTGGCAGCTGCATTATCACAGGATCCAGCAGCGGACAAGCTATGGATACATTCGGAGTGGTGACTAGCAGGAATGCTGCTATCACTGCAAAAGAGCAAAGAATGGACTGACCGCCCAACTAAGGGGTAAGTATTCATCCTCTTCTATTACAAGGTACATCTGCCTGAAGATTTTAGTGAATTAAAAAGGATCAATTAAAAAAGCAACAATTAAAATATAACTAAATGCAAAACTTTTTTTTTTTTTTTAGTTCTGGATAGTGGAGAGGGAATAGAACCCCTGTCGGATTTGATTTCTGTCTGTGCTCCTATTAGGGAGATTCACCCCTCTATTTGTCCTGTTTGCCATTGTCATTGAAAGTGAAACTAAAAGAAAATCCCAGACTTTGGATTGTTTCCAGAAAAGTAATAGAAGGGACATTTTCCAATGGGGACACTATCTCTGGTGACCTGGAGGAATTCCCTTCATTTGCAGGGATTTCCTCTCACTTCTGTTTGGCTATGGGACCGGAAGTGAAGGGAAATCTCTGCAATGGGACACAGATGGCAAAATTAAAAATCTGACAGGGGTTATAACCCTCCCTTACTCTATACAAAATGTAAAAAAAAGTTATGCCTATAGTTCTACTTCATGTTCTGACAAGGAAACTTTAATATACCAGAAATGTAAAACTTACTGAATAGGTTAAAGACATACAAAATATAAACACAACATTTACAGTACCTGTCTTGAGGTTTCATCTTGTCAGTGTTGTTGGCTTCCCTCATCTTTGTACCACTTTATCCTGATTTATGGAAGACAAAAATAAATATGTACCTTAGTATATTTGCAGTCAAAGGAATTTACACCTGGCATCCAAATACACAAAGGGTCTGAAACAAAACATTAAAATGATTATAAAAGCGAACGTTTTTCATGTTTTTTTTTTACCTTTATGCATTCTATGAAGGTGTTTGCTGGAGGTATTTTAGAAATGTACAAAACAACAAATAGAAGAACTTTACACTTGTCAGGAAGTGAAAATTATACAATGTATCAGTATGACAATGTTCTCTTCTGAGCTCAGGAATGAAAATAAATTGATACAATGTATCAGTGTGAAAATGTTGTTTTCTGAGCTCAGGAATGAAAATAAATTGATACAATGTATCAGTGTGAAAAATGTTGTCTTCTGAGCTCAGGAATGAAAATAAATTGATACAATGTATCAGTGTGAAAATGCTGTCTTCTGAGCTCAGGAATGAAAATGATACAATGTATCAGTGTGAAAATGTTCTCTTCTGAGCTCAGGAATGAAAATAAATTGTTACATTTCAAGTGAGGGAGATCATTTAGTGAATGAAAGTGCAGAATGTTTTTCATAGTTTCACTATATTGCGGTGTGCCTTCGGGTGCAGCTTTATCCTGTCAGAAAAGCACCAAAAATAACGCAAAATTTAAGCACTAAATATGTAACGCATTCATTTTTTTTGTAGATTGACGACTTTTGAGATAAATATCGAATTAGTTATTTTAAGTCAAATAATTCATGCGGTATTTATCTCTTAGCAAATTGATCCCAGTGTATCTCTTCACTCAAAAGAGAAAAGCATGTGGGCAGGCTACACATTGATCACTGCGATAGCCAATTAGATAGCCAATCAGAGACTAAAACATCAATCAGGTGATCAGGAACCAGGAGTCCTAGGTCCTGATTGTTAGTACGAGACCAAGAGCCTGGTTTCTGTGCTGGAAGCATTCTATGTGGCAAGCTCTCAGCACAAAAAGAGGCCCCTTGGATAAAGACCCACTTCCATGAGGCCGCATATCTGTGTACTGTCGGTGGGAAGGGGTTAAAAAAAAAAAAAAATGCCTGCTCCACAAAGAGAAAAAACACAGAAGCCTTTTTAGGCAGCTGACAATTTATCATCAGTGTGAAAATATGCCATTTGTCCCCATTAATAGCAGCCAGATTAACCACTTGCCTACCGGGCACTTTTACCCCCTTGGTGTCAGGCCAATTTTCAGCTTTCAGTGCTGTTGCATTTTGAATGACAATTGCACGGTCCTGCAAAATTGTACCCATATGAATTTTTTTTTTCACACAAATAGAGCTTTCTTTTGGTGGTATTTAATCGCCGCTGGGTGTTTTATTTTTTGCACGTTAAACAGAAAAAGAGCAAAAAATTTGGGTTTTCTTTGTTTCTATTATAAAATTTTGCAAACAGGTAATTTTTCTCCTTCACTGATGTGTGTTGATGAGGCTGCACTGATAGGCAGCACTGATGAGGTGGCACGGATAGGCACTGATAGGCTGCACTGATGAGGCGTCATCGATGAGGTGGCACCGGTGGGCATTGGTGAAGAGGCACTGTTGATGCTGCACTGATATGCAGCAATGATGGGCACTGATAGGTGGCACTGCTGGGAATTGGTGGTTGGCACTGCTGGGCGGCACTGCTCATCAGTGCCCATGTCCTCTGTGTCATTTGCCGGTTATCGGTAGTACTTTCCTTACGCTGTGACAGTGTGACAACTGTATTTACATTGTGATCTGTTGTGTCAATGGACACAGCCGATAACATGGTAAAAGGCCACTGTGATTGGCCTTTTACCTCATCATGTGATTAGCTGTGTCCGTAGGACACCGATCACGGAGCGCTGGGTGTGCGGGGACGGCACGTTCTGGGAGATCATGAGACACCCTTCCAGAACTGGACAACTGTGCTGTAGCCGTCATTCAACTATAGCACAGTTGGCAAGTGGTTAAAGGGCACCTGTTAAGACAATACCACTTGCCCTCCGGAAGATTTACCCCCCGACCAGGCCATTTTTTGTGATACGCTGCTGCATTACTTTAATTGACAATTGCGCAGTCATACAACACTGTACCAAAATGAAATTTATGTCCATTTCTCCCACACAACAGAGCTTTCTTTTGGTGGTATGTGATCACCTCTGTGGCTTTTAATTTTTAAACAAAACAAGACTGAAAATTTTTAACAAAAACCCAATATTTTTTTTATTTTCTACTATAAACCATATCCAATAAAAAAATGTAACAATCAAATATCTTCATAAATTTAGGCCAAAATATATTCTGCTACATATTTTTGTTAAACAAAATCCCATATTGATTAGTTTGCGCAAAAGTTATAGCGTCTACAAACTATAGGACAAATACTGGATTTAAAATTTTTTTTCTATACTAGTAATGGCGGCGATTGTTGACTTATAGCAGGACTGCAATATTGCGGCGGAAATTTTTACACTGACACTTTATGGGAACCAGTGACACTAATACCGTGACCAGTGCTAAAAATATACACTGATCACTGCATTAATGACACTGGGTTGGAAGGGGTTAACATCTAGGGTAATCAAAGGGTTAACTGTGTGCCTAGCTATGTGCTTGGTGTACATTAGATGGCACTGGTACAAGAGAAAGCGATGGATCATGTTCCCAGCTCTGCAAGGACACACAATGGATCACTTTCTCCTGTCACAGCACAGCTGTACTTATGTAAACATAGGCACAGCTGTGTTCTTCCTCCCTACCTGACGATCTGCGGGTACCAGCGAAGATCCATTCACCTGAACTCGAAGATCAGCTTCTGCTGTGACATTTCACTGGAGCAATCTGCCTGTGGCACGTACTCGCCCCTGTGAGGTGGGAGGGAGAGCCACCCTGTAGCAGTAAAACTGCTATAGGGCGGAGGGAAATTGGTTAAGGTTCAGAGTTTGGGGTCATCATCCTCATCCTTATTTCAATAAGCGGCGAGTAAGAAACACATTTGCAGAACAGAAGTCCCAGTGACAAAGGCTGCACGCTTATTCTAGATTTGTTATTTTGTAGACAGAGCAGAAAGAATAAAGATGACCTTTCTGAAACACTATTTTTTTAAGAGCCACCTCACATCCGCATGTATTGCAATTTGCAATTTCTGTATGAGTGTTTTTGATGTGTTTTGGTGCATTTTTTTGATGCATTTATTTCCCCTTTTATTCATTATCTCACTTCAGGACATGTGTGTTTCGGAGGACCTTTTGATGCATTGCAGTTTATTTTTATGTGTTTTGCCATACTCCATACAGAAACAAATGTAGCATGTTCTACTTTAATTGCACTGGTGTGAACTAGGGCCATTGGAACACATGGAAAACACTGTTCATACATTTTTGATGCAGATTAAAAAAAATGGACTTCATCTAGTGTGAACCAGCCCTCAGAAATGTCTCCAGCCAGAAAAAAATAAAGAATAAAAAAGCAGCTCTGGCTGCAATACTTTCCTTCAATGGTGACCATCACAGTACCTCTTCTTTGCCACAAGATGTTCTCAGTGCTCCAGGCTGAATGGCACCTACCTTCATTCAAACTGGAAGACTGAAAACTAGGGATGAGCTCAGGTGTGTTTGCAGCCTAGTCTGAACCTACTGGAGCTATCACATCAGGAAGCTGTCACTTCACACTATCAATCATAATGTTTGAGGCATGTCCTTCTTGCAGCTGCATGTATACATGCCCCTTGTATATGTGCAACTGTGGGGCAGGGATGCCTCAGCAACATGCACAGCGACAGCTTCCTGACAGGATAGCTCAGGTGTCTTTGGACTAGGATCTGAACAAGCCCAAGTTCATCCTTACTAATAACATAGCCTGATTGGCTTAAACACACCTCCTTTGATAGAGTATGTTACAGCCGAACTAAACCCTCCTACCTATCAGCCAATGAAGTTGCCATCTTGGCCTCTGTTTGATTTGCAACTGTGATGATGCTGCATGTGTGATCAGTTGACACCAGCCATTAGACGGCTTGACAGTTCGGTTTATATAGCAATGGGACAGTTAGCAATCCCGGCATGCTGTGAATGTAATTGTTTTTCTAAAGTATGGGTAAATTCCACTTTAAGACAGTTCTTTATAATCTTCTCTAATATACATACATGTGTTAATTACATATCCTATAAGATGTTTTTTTTTTTTTTTTTTTTTTTTTTAGAAAGCCTATTTCAATTTGCCAGTAACACTGCACAAAACACATTAGCCTTTAATGTAATATCTAACTGAATTTTCAGCTTAAATCAGCTGAATACATTCTAGGTGCATTTATACAAAAGGCATCCAATATCCTGCAGTTCATTTTCTTTCTAAAGCAGCTTCAGTCTGAGAAGAAAAGCCTGTCCCTTGCCAGCAACCTGGAAACCTTGCTCTAGTGTTCTTTGAGCACCATGCAGTAGGAGCTTGACAAAGTCAGAAACATGGGACCATAGAAGCTTCTCCTCTTGTTTATTATGTAGGTAACCACCAACACCAATAATTCAGATGGCACTTCCCACTTACCTCCAATGGGACGGAGCATTCTTCCCACTGACCCCCAATGGGACGGAGCATTCTTCCCACTGACCCCCAATGGGATGAAGCATTCTTCCCACTGACCCCCCAATGGGACGGAGCATTCTTCCCACTGACCCCCCAATGGGACGGAGCATTCTTCCCACTGACCCCCCAATGGGACGGAGAATTCTTCCCACTGACCCCCAATGGGACGGAGCATTCTTCCCACTGACCCCCCAATGGGACGGAGTATTCTTCCCACTCACCCCCAATGGGACGGAGCATTCTTCCCACTGACCCCCCAATGGGACGGAGCATTCTTCCCACTGACCCCCAATGGGATGGAGCATTCTTCCCACTGACCCCCCAATGGGATGGAGCATTCTTCCCACTGACCCCCCAATGGGACGGAGCATTCTTTCCACTGACCGCCCATGTAAGAAACATTCTTCC